GGCAAAGCTGAAATTCGGACCCACATCTCTGGGCATAAAATCTTTCTTTCTCTCTCTCTCTCTCTCTCTCTGTGTGTGTGTTTCTCACTTTTTTAAAAATTTAAATTCTTTATTGTTTAAAGTATTACATAAGTCTCCCTTTCCCCCCATTGACCTCTCCACAGCCACTCCCACCCCCTGGCACATGCTCAGCATAAATTCTTAACCCCCTTGCTACAGTGTCCTTCCTAAGGGACAGACAGGAGGTCTGAGTTCTAACCAAAGCTGGCTGCTCTTGTACAAGTCCATTCCGCTGCCCAGATCTCAGCTTTTTCATGGGTCAAGTGAAACGTGGACCCGACCTGTAAAGTCCATTCCAACTGTGTGAATCTGGGATTCAAGTATTTGCAGACACTTCCTGTGTGCTAGCGTGTTATCTTATGATAGGAGGGAAGGCATGCTGCAGTCTGGGTAGGTAATGGAATGGGTCAGACTCTAACGGGAGAGAGAAGTACAGGAGTAAAGAAGTTTATACTGCACCTGGCCCACACAGGTGATGCTCAAAAGAGTTAATAACTTGTTTGGTAATATAAACCAAAATATAAAATAATATGAAACTCCTTTTAGTCTACATACTATATATATTTAAAACTCTTTGGCAAATGATATAAGTTGTAGTGCATATCGTGGGTCAAATTATTCTAATTTCCAAATCACTTGTTGAGTTGTAGATTTCTTTCAGCTTTATTGAGCTATAATCAACATATAACATTATGTAAGTTTAAGATGTACAGGGTGTTGACTTGCTATGCTTCTGTCTTGTGAAATGATTGCCACCATAAGGTTCCCAACACCTTCATCACGTCACATAATTACCATTTCTTTTTTGTGATGAGAATGCTGAAGATGTACTCTCGGCAACTTTCAAATATATAACCACAATATAAACTATAATCACTGAGCTGTACCTCAGATCCCTAGAACTTACTAATCTCATAATTGGAAGTTTGTACTATCGGGTCTTATGTGTTCATACAAATTTTATGGTTGTTTTTTTCTGTTTCTGTGAAAAATGACATTGGAATTTTGATAGGGATTGCTTTGAACTATAGATTGCTTTGGACACTGTGGACATTTTAACATTAATTAATTCTTCTCATCCATGAGCATGGGATATCTATTTTTTGCTTTCACTTTTTCTTTCTTTTTTTTTTAAAAATTAAATCTTTATTGTTCAGATTACAATTGTTCCTCTTTTTTCCCCCAATAACTCCCCTTCCACCCAGTTCCCACCCCACCCTCCGCC